ATTATATAAATTATCATTATTATTATAAATTATCATTATTATTATGAATTATTATTATTATTATTATTATTATTTTTAGAAAAGGAAAAGAAGACGTAAGGTCTTAATATATTTAATTAAATCGGGCAATAAAAAAATTGCGCGATATTCGCGTGATGATCTGGAGTTGTTAACAAGAAGTAAAGGTGGTAATGCCTACCACTCTGATGAAGTATGAGTGACTGATGATGAGATAACAAAGGAAAGTGAAGAAAAAGTGAAAAAATTAGTATGTGTAGACAAGTGGTGGCATGAAAAGCATATTAGTATATTATTTTCTATTAAATTAGCCAGCATTATATATCAGTATTATATTGGCTAATTTAATAATGTATGTTCTGTATGGTTATATTATAATGATAAGCTATCTTCCTAACACTAATATTATATTTAGTTAAAAAGGTTGTTTCATAAGCGTATTGACTTGTTTGTGAAGTTCCTACAACCAAAAAATAATAGGATGTACAAATGGCACTATGAAGATCATGTGGATAAGGAAGGGATACCACCACAGGATTGTTCTAACTGGGCACTATCTTCTGATACACTAAACCAGTTAAATATTTCTGAAACAGAATTTGACGCAGATTATTCAACTAGAAAAGAAGACCCAAGAGAAGAAAAGAAAAAAAGAAAAGTCAAGCGTAAGCAGAGTAAAGAAAGGGCTAGTGTGAAAAAAGGCAGTAAAAGAAAAGGAGCCAATGTAGGTGATGACGATAATGTCGTATTATATAAAAGAAAAAAAAGAACCAGAACAGAAAGAAAAGAAAGAAGTTCTTCCCTACCAAGTCTTCAAGAAGCCATGACAACAACAACTACAAGCATACTAGCAACAACCACAAGAACAACAGTAAGAACAATAGCAGCAACAACAGCAAGCACACTAGCAGCAACAACTACAAGCATTCTAGCAGTAATAACCACAAGCATACTAGCAGTAACAACCGCAAGCATACTATCAGCAACAACAGCAAGAATACTAGCAGCAACAACAGCAAGTATATCAGCTAAAGCAACTACAGGCCCATCAACAACAAGACCAAAAACATCTACAGTAAGGACCAGTAAATTAATACCAGTAGATATAGAAGAAAAAGACCTGCAAGTATATCGTGTAGATGATGATGAAAGTGAAGGTGAGAGTGAGGGTAAAGGTGAAGGTGAAGGTGAAGGTAAAGGTGAAAGTGAAAGTGAAAATTAAGACGAAGGTGTAGTGCAAAAAAAAGGTAAAGGGAAACGAAAAAGGAGAGATGAAGATAAAGGAAAAGGAAAGAAAAAACAAAAAAAAGGTGATAAATAAAAATATTTTATATTTTATTGTTTTAATTTTTTTTTTTTTTTTTTTTTTAAGGTGCCCTCTTGGTCTATTCTCTTTTTTTTTTTTTTAGTAGATTTTTTTCGTTAGCTAAATCCC